TGGATCACAAGCAAAAATTCTTCCAGGTTTTGGAATTTATTTAAGCTCTTGGGCTGGTATTGGCTGAGTATTCCATGCTCTCCATTTGATGAGGGCTTCCTTCCCAGCCACAGTCCTGGGAACAGGCTGCACTGTAATTAAAGAGATGAGGGATTTGATTTGGGTGTGGTCTTGCCACTGAGGCACCCAGCATTTGGCAGCTATGGTTGCATTCAAATTCCTATTTGTTTTGTTTTGATATGTATTATTTTTTAATCTGAGCAGGACTGGCTGTCCTGGGCTGCTTTCCCTGCATGCTCTGACCCTGTGTTAATGATGCTTTCTGCTAATCCATTCTACACCTGATGAACTTTTTCATCCCCTCCCACTCTTGCAGGCAATTTTGTGCTAAGACTTTGCATACAGCATTACAGTGCAGCTCTAGCTATGCTAGAGGAACCATAACTTAGTACTGCCTCCTTTCTGCTTGAGAGAGTGGAAGAAGTCTTTTTGTGGTCTTTTAATATCTTCTTCAAGCCCTTAGCTAATTGCATTCTGTACTTTTTTCCCCAATACATAATTATGTGTTGCATACCATGTAGATAAGCTAGTAGTTCTTGGTAGTTAATGAATAGTTCAGATACTTCTGCATTGATATTATAATAATGATAAAACCATCAAATGGAAAAGTGGGTGTGACAGGTGGTACAAGTCTGGATAATATTGTTTTTCTATAGGAATAGAATAGGAATGGCCCAACAAAGCAGACAAATTTGTTTCATTTCCCAAGAAATAGTGCATCTAGCAGAGAACACAGCACCTGTCCTATTGGGAAAGGCCACTGAAAATGCTGCTGGGGAAAACAGCAAGTCCTCCTGTGTGTCAGTGCCACAGGTGTGGGTCCTGATGGTTCTGACTGTAGATGCAGCCCGGTGAGCTGAGCGTTCACCCAGTTACCTCTGGTGCACACAGGCAGTGGGCAGCCTCTCCCACCTCTGACACTATCAGCATCTGTGAAGGCTTTGAACTCTCAGACTGCTTCGCTCTGGGGTTTTGTTGGCAGATATTTGAGCAGCTGTTTCATGGCCTGCAAGTGCCTGCAGTGCTGGGCCTGGACGGTCTGGCTCATTCAGAGCTTTGGCTTTAGCTGCTGTGCTGGGTTTGTCTCTTCAGTGCTTCTCTATTACTCAGGGAAACCCCGTTCTAAACAAGCTGCTGTGGGTGCTGGCAGTTTCTTTTCAGTGCTTTCTAGGTCAGGAATTTCTTGCATGCCAGTATGAGCAGATCTTGGGAAACCCTTGTTTTGATTTGTCAGGTTGCTGGGTTTGTTTTGTTTGTTGTTTGTTGTTTTTTTCCCCCTCTGATTCTGCAATGCAGTTTCAAAACTAAATAGGGCTTGTTTCATCAATGCCCACTGTCATGTCATGCAACAGTGGAAATCACTTGTACGGAAGGTAAGTCAGTGCATGTGTCCTAAGGAAGCTCCTGCCAGTGTTTTCAAGCAGGACATCACCCGTCATTTAGCAACACCTAAAGAGCAGGCCTGCTTCTTTTTGCATGCAAGACTGGGAATGGTTTCATGACAATCCAAAGAAGATGGTACTACACTTCTGTTTTCAACTTGCCCATTCTGATAGCAGTGGGAATTTATCTTGAGGTACAAATGTCAGCAGGGCTGCCACCATGGTTTTCTGCAGCTGAGTATTTGAATAGGGTCCAAACTGTGAAGCTTGTGTTTAGCAGCTAGTGGGTGGCTGAGCTGAAGCCAGCTCATTTGATCTGTGTGAACTGCAGTCACACCTTAGGGTTGCAGTGTAGATATAATCACAGAGACCTCAGAATAAACCTCTCCCCACCTAATCTTTTCACATGTTTCTGAACAGACAGGTGTGTGCACCACTCCTACGTCTGCAGAATGCGTTATTTGAAGCAGGTTGCACATGGCTGCAGGCATGAAGGAGAGCCTGGTGGTAACCAGGTTGCTTGTGTCTAATGATTGAGAGGTCAGGGAGCTTCCCTGGAAACACAACTTTGGGAGGAGCAGGGAGAAGGTGCTGGGGCCACATGTAATGTTATCAGTGCCCAGCTGCCTCATGTGGAAAGTTGTGTGCTTGCAAGGAGCCAGCATACATCTTTCTCCCATTAAAAGACACCTTTAAAAACCTTTGTGCTTTTTGAGTAAATAGCCTTATTGCCCAGTGTGGTGTCACAGCACAGAAGCAGCTTTTAAAGAACTGCATCTGTGTTACTGATGCAAGTGACGCCCTGTAGCTTTGTTTCTGTAGCTTCTCATTCCTTACACAGCTGAACTGTTTTGCACCTGCCTTAGAAGTAGTTTGAAATAGAGGTGTGATGCTTTGTTTTGGTGAGTGGAAAATGGGGCTCTCCCAAGGGAAGCTATACTGTCTTTCTGCTTTGAAATTGTAATTTCATTGTGGCTTAGCTCTTGAACACTCTTTTGTACCATTGCAATGCTTTATTCATGTAAAAATGTAGCACTGGTTACGTGAAGAGCCCAGATTCATTTAAATATAAAGGGTAACCAGGGCTTTCTTTACACTGGCTCTGCCATGGAGTGGTTCTGTAAATGATGGTTAACACAAGAAATTCCTGTTCAGAGCAGCTTTTTACCCTGCATCAGATGTCCTTCTTGCAGCTTCTGTTTTCCTGTAGCTCTGGTCAGCAGACAAAGTCTATCCTGGCAAGCAGGCTGCCTTGTGCATGGTCAGCACCACCCACCCTTGTCTGAAGCCTGACCTGAGTGCTTCCAGGAAAACTCTTCCCCTCCTGGAAGCCCTCTGGCACTGAATGTGGACGAGGTCAGCCACCTTCTTTGGCATTTCATTGACATTCTCTCCCTATCTAACCCTCCACACCCAAATTGCTCTTAAAGTCCTCTTTATGCCCACTACCCACAAGAATCTGATAACTGCCCTGCTGTCTTTGACAAGTACTTAAACACCAGAGCAGGACCAGCAGAGTAACCTAGATAGGGCTAAAGGAATTAAACCTGCGAACAGTCCTGATCATCCCTGTGCGTGGGTTTCTCAGCAAATCCTGTCTCTGTGCCCATCTTGATCAGCATACCACGTTAACTGCTGTCTGTATTTCAACTCACAGAGTTCCAAGCTCTGCATCAGCATTTACAGTGTCTGGTTCAGCTGGTAGAGTGCTTTGAAAAGTTGGCACTGTGTTTCTTATATCTTTATTCAGGCCTTGGAACACCGAATTTGCTCTAAGAAATAATAGGTGGTAGCACTAACGTGCCATGTAATCATGCAGCCACTCGAATGGCTGTCAGCCTTGCTGGGAGGCAGCCTCAAGGAGAGTGGTGCCTAGATAGGAGCTGCTTATGGCTGCTTCCAGATCCTCCAGACGTGTATGTATGAACTTCCATCCAAAGGGGGCCTTGTCAGCCACACATGGCTTCCCTTTCTTGGATTGCATCAGGAGTTGGGAGCCGCTCAGGAGCACATCTGTCTGCAGCATGATTGCTGTCCGGAGCCTGGATCTGGGTCCAGCTGTCTGCCTTCTCGTCATCTAGAGGCAGAAGGGAAAATCAAAAGCTCTTTATTGTATTCTCCCTTGGTCTGTCACTGCTTAATTGTATCCCTGAATCTTACTAAAGTTTGGGGTGAGTCATTACCATTCAGAGGTGAAAACAGAGCTGTGCAAATTGAAGGGAGGAGTGTTTCCCCATGTGCAGAGCAGAATTCCCACAGCTCAGAGAAACTCCTATCACTCCATAGATATGTTGCATCATCTGCTAGCTGCTGCCTCTAATTTAATGCCCTAAATCCCATATCAAAACACTTGGAGTCCAAAGAGAAAATAAAATAGGCTTGGAGTAGGAAATTCACACCAATTAGACATGCAGATCTCTCTTAATCATCGGGGATCTTCCAGGTTCATGCAGGCCTTATAATTGTGGTGCTGAGTTCTTATTGCATTGGCTATCCTCAGAACACACTTCCTTCTCCACCATCAAAATGAAATTGAAGGAGTGAGCCAAGGTGACTGCTCTTCAGTGTCCTAAATTTATTTCATTTACGACTATAGCAGTTCAAGCTTGTAAAATACATTATGATCTCCTGTGGAGACAAGTACTGCAGAACTGTCATTGTCACCGATCAGATAATTTCTTTGCGATGTACAGAAAGACCTCCTCTGCTTCACTTTGTACACATCATTACAGCCCCTTGCACTTGCTGTTTTGGTTTATGGTACAAACCCAAAAGAACTCTTCTTTCTGAGGCGATGGTTTCCACCACATCTCAGGCTGTTTCTCCTGTTAACTTTTGGAGATTTAATGTGCCTGCTTGACATTCTGGCCCAGCTGGGAATATGTTGGTGGAGGCAGCTCTGGACATGTGTGTGTCGTTGATTAGGAGCACAGAATGGCAGAGTAGTTTGGATGGAAGAGATCTCTGAAAATAAGCAGGGAGATGGACTAGATTAAAGCATTGTTTGGAGTTGTTTTAGAGCTAAGTAGCTGGTTGCTTACCCATCTTTGGTAAGCTATTTTAAATTTATTTTACTGATTTGTTTTGGAAGCGAGGACCACCCAGAAATAGTTAAATGTGAAAACTCCCATCATGGCTCTCCTTAATGAGATTTATTGAAACTTTTTAAAAATTCAATTTAATGTGTCTTGTTTTTTTTTTAACCACTTGAAGCACCTAAGGTACAGAATCACATTTCCTTGTATTTCTGTATAATAACAAAGCCAGACAAACAACAACAACAAAACAAACCGAGCCAAAAATTTGTGATCTCCTTGAAGAACAAATACCAGCTTCCAATAGACGAGGATTTAATTCCCAAACTCTCTGCATGCCTCTGCTATTACAGCAGCAAATTACTGAGTGTGCATGTATGGAAAAGAAGCCAATGTGCAATCATTACAATTTGTATGTCTACAAGACTGGAATTTGTAGCTTTCCTGATGCTTTACAAAGTGCCTGAGATGTATGCTTTTCAAGGGCTGTGAAGGTACTAAGGTTCTTCTGTTTTCCTTGCAGGTGTGTTGTTAGACATCCAGCAGCACTTTGGAGTCAAAGACAGCGGGGCTGGCTTATTACAGACAGGTAAGAGTCTGTGGCATATTTCCTTTGAAATACGTTCTTAGGAGGAAAACGAACGAAGATGAGAGTGGGTTTTTGTTACTGTTGTTTGGTTTGTTTTATTTTGCTGATGGGCAAGAGATCAGGGCTCAATGGCTTGAGTGCAGAAAGAGCCAAGAAGCAAACCTAATTATATATGTCAAAGTCAAATAAAAGATAGCTACCTGGATTACAAAGCTCTCAATAGACCAACAGCAGGATTCTGTTCTTGTGCAGAAGAAGTATGTAACGTGTGAGGTGTGATGCCCTCCGTGTATTCAAAGTCTGCTGAACGTGCAGTATTTGGGAGTCCAGTGTGCCATAGAAATGTGAAACGCGTCAGGAAAATAGTTGAGGATGAAAGCTGCAGGAAGGGCTGACAATGCTTGCTTTCATGCTCGCTCACTGATTAAAAAATACTCCTATGATTTTGGTACATTGACATCAGACATTTTTCCTCCATGTATTTAAGGAAGAAAAAATACTGAAATTCTGTTGCCTGTCCTTCTGATGTTGCAGGCAGAGCTGAATGACCGTAGGAAAAAAAAGAGCTTTTCTAGCCTGTGGTTCAGAGTTGGTCTAAAGGAGTGGCTTCGTCAAGGGATGGGAGACGATGCTGAGTAGCATCTCGTGAATGACAGCACATTTGTTTTTTATGGAGAGGTGAAAGGACCAGTGAGGCAGCAAATGCAGTATTTTAAGGAGAGAAGGAGTCTGGTTTGGAAGCCAGTTGTAGAATTGCGATGCTGGGGTTGTCAGGCTCCTCATCTGTGATTAGAGCATCTTGTCATGTTGCAGTACAAACTACTAATATTAGTCCATATTAGGGCCTTAAAAATTCTCTCCTGTCTCTTATGGGACAGAGGAGTTCAGCTAAGCTGAAGCAGCACATGTCCACAACAGAAGGTCTGAGCTTTGTAAGTGTTACTGATTATACGTAGCATCAATCAGTCATGTTCAAAGTGGCACTGGATGTCTGTCAGGTTCTTTTCTACAGCAATTATTTGTTTTTATTTATTGTGCTCTAAGGAACAGATCCTCAATGTATCATTAGACTCAAAGTGCCTTCAACAGAATATTCTAGTGGAAAACTGCACTTGCCTAAGCACATATATTTTCTTCATTCCTCTCAGTGGATGAAATCCTTCTGCAGATGATTTACTGACAGCAAGCAGTAGCTAAGCTCCATCAGGGCGTTTCATTTGTTAATTGCAAGACATTTTATTTATTTCTCTAGCAAACATACAGAGCATCTGAAAACAGAGTCACTGAGGTATTGCAAGCTTGATGCTGAGCGTGTTGTGAGTTGTGTAACCAATAAATTTTGCTTTAAGAAGAGTAACATTTTTTTTCTGATCTGAAAACTGAGAGCTTGACTTTGCCCTCCTCCTACTGGAGATAGTACTGTAGATAATAACATTATTGTGTTAATGTTATGTATTAATATGTATTAATCACAGCACTACCACAGGAAAAACTGCTCATAGCACTGCACCATTTCATGTAAGTAAGGTTAATGGCATCTAACAAAAAACTTGGTGAATGTGTTACTCTGTTTCTATTTGGCAGCTGGCATATGGCCGTGGTACTCTTAACCCTGGTGGAAAGGAACATGCTGGCCTAAACCTCCATAAACACTACCTGAAGTCTTTTGACCATTCTCTAAGTCTGATTGCTCTAAGCTGCACATGGAGGGAGCTGGAGTATAAAAATGCTTGACCAAGATTGCAGACAGAATCTACAGTAAAGCTGGGATCGAGACCAGTTTCTCCCAGACCTCTTCCTTAACCTTGAACAGTTCTTTTCCAAGCAGAAAGTCAGAAATACCATCTTACTCCCAGGAGATGGTCTTGCTAACTAATTGAGTGATATGAGATGAAAGACTGCTCATCCTGAATGTGTCCTCTGAATAAAGAGTAGATTAGTCTTCAGGTTGTTAATCCTGCATCTAAATGAGTCCTAAATTAATTTACAATGTTAATGAGAGGGAGTGAAATGTGGCATTCACTGTTCATATCGCTCATCAAATAGGCTTTACAAAAATAATAATGAAAACCCTTTTAACTGAGAAAGAAGGCTGCACACAGTGCTTTAGGAGGAGATGGTGGTGAAAACTCAGTGAGAGGAAAAGAAATCTACCAAAGGCAGTCAATGCCCGTGCATTCATGCCATAACCCATTGTTTGCAGGCACAGCTGGTCTCATACTGCAGACATTCAAGAGTCAAGTCATGCTCTCTCAGCTTCTCCTGCTCTCTGGTAAGCAGAGGTGACTGGTTTCTCCAGAACTGCAGAGATGGAATTTGAATTTTTATCTTGCTTTATATTAATCCCAAGATACAAGTTGCAGTGTGTCTAGGAGATGCAGTGAAAACTGCTTAGAGGGAAGCCAGCTTCTTGTACAGCAGAATTTGAAGGGACACTCCAGCCTCATCCGTAATGGAAAAGAGCAGAACATGGTACCCTCTGTAACAAGGATCCTGTGACAGCAGAGGACACACTACAGATGTATCACAGTTGCTACTTGCTCAGTAGCACTGTAGAGTAACAGGCACATAACTGTGCTGATTTCAGAGCCTCAATTACCTCTTAATGATACTAAAATTCTGTGTTGATCTTCCTTTTTAAAGAACTGTGTGCACAGTTATATAAATAATAAAGTGCACTTAATGGTTCTTCAGGTCCGTAGCCAAGCTTAATTGTTTCTTTTCATTTCTTGCTGGTTGCTTTTGTTAGATGGATAAAAGGATAATTTTGACTGATCTCAAAAGGTGATAAAACACCTCTGTGCCTACTTAAGCTGTGCAGCTGTAATCAGTCAATGCAACCATAAGCCAAACAGTGCAAAAAGGCTTTCCTATGTGTGGAAAAGAGTAGGGGCAGCAGTTTGGATTGTCAAAACTATAGGCTTCTAAAACCACAAAGCCTGGGAGGAGGGAGAACAGATTTATAAATCTGCTACAAATTGTGTTATTCAAATCACATTTTCTTCCATATATTTTTGGGCCACAGGAATAATGCCCACTGGTGGGCTCTGTTTTCCTTTGGATTTTTCTGTCCTTTCTTCGTTATTTTTTTTCTGAGCTTTATTGCTCTGCCTACTTTCCTTGCCCTTGAACTTATTTTGCTTTTGTTTCTTGCCAGTGTCTATTTAGCAAATCAGAGCTCTGTTCATAATAGTGCCTAGCTCTTAGTACCATTTGTCTTCTGTATATCTCTGGACTTTTTTATATGGAAGGCATAATGAGGCTTGTCCCTTTCTACAGATGGAACCAAGAGAACCATATGGGAGAAATGTCCTGCCCAAAGTCACACAGCAGGTGTGAGCCAGAGCCAGAATGAGAACTGCAGTCCATTTCTTGGACACAGCACCCAACCAGGTTAATGGTCAGACCTAGAGACTTGGTCTTAGCTATTGGGCACCTTACTTTTCTAGCCTAAATAGTTCAAGGTCAAGAAACATGAAACAGGGGGGACTTCTGCAAGGGGAAGCTGTAAGCCATCAAATAGTTATGGCAAGGATTTCCTTGAAATGTGGAGGAAAAATTGTCTGTCTTCAGGAAGATCATAGGGTATCACTAGAGGAAGTCTTGTTAACCAAGCTTTTACACCATCAGTCAGAAACAAGGAAATGTTACAAAATGAGAAATCTGGAAGGTATCTGTGGCTCTGAAAGAACTTCTCACTTGGAGACTGATGGGCATTCCCCCAAAATGCCTTTCAGCCCCTGGTTTTCCTGGGAAGCCTAGCAATGCTGAGTACTTTCTTAAGTTTTACTGTGGGTTGATTTTCCTTGTAAGGATCAATTGCAATTAGAACCGATCATTTGAAAAATGAAGCTTGGTCCTAATTGAGTCACCTTGCCTTTTGAGGTGACCTAGTGTAACCTTGCAGTGGAGTCCAACCTTGAAAAGGTACTGGCATCTCCAGTGTGCTATGACTGCATCAACCAGGCCATAGGCATTGGTTGTGCCCCGATTAATGCTTGTGACAAGGGTAGCAGGAACAGCCGCTGCCCAAACAGATCCTATTTATTATTGACTTACAAACAAGCACTTTGTTTAGAGCATGGTAGGTGCTGCAGGATCAGACAGTCCTTCTGACTGGTTGGGAAGCCTGAGAACATCTTAACTAATGCATGGTAGAAGAGTGAATACAGAATATAGCAGACTGAAACGCCATCTGCTCTCCAGTAAGCACACTGTGCTGGAGAATGTTGCAATGCGATCTAATGGAAGACTCGACTGCCTTCTTTCTTTAAGCAGGTTTTTTCCTTATTAAGGTAGAGTGAGGTGAGACAGTCCAGAGCCTGGTTATCACCCACGTAAAGCCCATTACAAGTTCTGACAGCCCTTTTTCCTGTTTGCTAGAATGGTGTCCAATACGCTACGAAGTCCTGGCAATCTGAAGTTCTGATTCATGAAAGCAGTTAAGCCTATTTGGAATCTCTCTGCAATCGAGAATGAAAGTATTTTTGTGAATCAGTGAGCAGGTTAAGGGAAAATGGGTTTGTGCCCTAGCCCTGTCCTGTGTGCACCAAGGACCAAACTGTAAAAACGCTGCTTATGGTGTGAGCCTTCACTAGACAGCTCTGGATTGCAGAGTAAATAATCTTTGCTGAGGAGGGAAGGGACCTTATGATGCCCTTGACTGCTTCTAATAGGAGGTAATTCTAGAGCCAGTGTTGTACTTTGTCTTTTTATTGTACGTGTCAGCATGAATAGGGAAGCTTTCCAGACTGGCTTGTCTTCATTAATGTTCTGATTTTATGTTACTACATGGCCACTAACACAGCATGGCAGTTCATTCAGCCTGTCTGCTCTGCCGAAGGAAGGCTTGCCTAGCTGTTGGCCTAATGGGGCAGGCATTTGGGCTGCTTGTTTCAAGGGAAACTTGCACGTGTGCCTATTTTCCCTTAGGCTGTAGTTCAGGCACTTCTTGCCAAAGTTGTGTTCATTTCTGTAATTCATTATAATAATGAGGGCAG